ATTGAAGATGTGTCAATATTGAGCCTTTTTTGTCTTTCCCGGGCTGTTTTTTTGTTTTAGTAATATTCTGCAATTATCTGCATTCATCCGTAGGATTACCCAGAGATCTATAACATAATTCGCATATCTCGTTTAATTAAACATTCGTTCACTTTGCAATTTCCAAGAACCGTAAGTTCTCCTTGAACTATTTAAATTTTGTTATGTTCAGAAAAGTAAGTTTTGACCAGTAAAACCATACATGTAGATCTGGATCGATATCCTAACCTTAACTTTACGTCGTTCCAACAAACTGAATATTTGAAGCCAATTCTAACTATATTAACAACGGCAAAGTCTAATGAAAATGTTAATAATATAAATCACCTTGCTTAATGCCCAAGCTTAACTTTTCCTTCCCTTCCAGTCCTCCAAAATCCATCTCGCTATCGACAGTGTCCTTTCCATACGTTGGTTCTATGTCATCCCTCGTCTTTTGCGCTAGCCTCCCTTTTTTCACTGCATCTCGGTGCTTTTGTCTACGGTATTTCGTTGAGATGTTGAGCTCCGTCTGATCTCTGTCCTTCGTCTGAGTTTCTCTTCAGAGTTCCTCACCCACTTGCGTTCGAGTGGACGAGGTTCCGTTCTCAATAGCGCAATGCGCTTAATGGGTATCGGCTCGTTGCAGTACCTCATGCTTTACGGTCTGGTTGCCCATTCAACTGGCAGCGCAATTTCTCTCTTTGACTCGACCCTCTCCCACCCGCGACCAATCGCCCTACCCTAGGCAAGATCATCATCGTTACTTCGTAGGCGGGATGTCTTTTTAAGGATAACGACGCCATATTTTGTGTTGTGGTGACAAGTGGAGTGTGTGAGAGCAGACTGGCGGCACAAGCAGTCAGCTAGCTAGCTTTAGTCTGTTTATTGGCCTGGTGCTGACCAGTGTGCTTGGCTGCCAGTTGTCATAGTAGTTGTGGAGGTGTAATCGTGCGGCTGGCGGTGCTAAGGGAACGAGCGGGAATCGTGTGCCGTAGTGAGTGCAGGTTGCTGGAGTGCGCCTGGGGAGCGCCTGTGCTTGCCGCCGTCGTGGGCAGGTCCGTCCATCATTGTTCGGCCACCCACCTGGGCTCGACCTCACCGAGGCAAAGGCAGACCATTGTAGCTGTGCTACTGCTTTTGTTATTTATCATTATGACATTCAGCAACGAGTAATTATTGTTATCGTTTATGAGTGGCGCTAATGGTCGGCTTGTAGGTTCACAAAAGAAAGCAAAAGAACCCAACAAAAAGTGCGTTGTACTAGTGGTGCAAGACAGAACACAAACAACGGAATTTTAGTGGAAGGTGAAACAACCTTTAAAGGATACACATTCAGTTAGAAAGAGCGACGACCAATTCGGCCGGCATTTTGTCGAGCGCACCCTTCTGTCGTATCGGTCAAGTGCAAATCATATGATGCAGGCGATAAAGTGTGTCGTTGTCGGCGACGGAGCCGTTGGTAGGTACACCATACACAGCAAAAATTGACAAAACATTTGTTTTGCCTACGCGTGACCAAGTACACATAAGATCGTCTGTCTCTATAGAAAGCCTAGGTAGCTACCGTTACTTAGTGTTTGTCTACACAGCGGGAAGGACGACACTCAGAAAGCACAATGAGGGAGAGAAGTTAGTGCGTCGCCTTTATTCGAATTCGATGGAGCAGCAGCCATGTGGTTTGCTGATTGGTGTTAAGTTCGTGCGCCGATGTTATTGGTTCCTCAATAACTGGTATGGCGGTGGCGAAGAACTCACCGGCTTGTCGGCGCCTGGTCCTCTTCTGGTCTGCAGAATGCAGTAGATTTCGCTGATAGGGGGATTGATTGTTGACACTGAGAACAAAGATCCCGAGACCACATCACACCGGGTTAACCCAGTCCACGCTCCAAATTCGAATTGAATCCCCCTTTGCTATTCCGTCCTAGGACGAGCCGCGGCCGCCGCCGTGCTGCTGGTTTAAATCGATGTAAAACATTTTCTTCTGAATTTATAGGAGGTCTCGTATGATTTTACGAAAATACATACAGATTAAGCTTAGATTTCTCTTCTGAATCTGGTATGGATCAGTCTGCTTGCTCATATTAACTCAAATGTAAGGGAAATTGTGCTTTTCCGTGTGTTCGGTCATCGTAAAATCGAGTGTTTTACAGTAAGTGACAGTCGTAAGTCACTTAGGTTTCAGTAAAGGGTTAGTAAGATGGGTAAATGTAGAATGTGTGCGCGTAATTGTCAGTGGCAGCATTCTCTGTGTAACCTAACATAGCCCCAATGTTTTCAGTGATACCTATCGCCAGCTGAGAATGGCATTTGCAATTATGATGATAGTTGTCTTCCATTGTAAACAATGATACAATAGCGAAATAATTCGGTCGTTTCACAGTGAACCTATACCGCCGCAACAGCGTAAGAACGGACTGGTAAGAATGGTGAAGAATTAGGTAGAATGCTCGCCCAACCTTCAGTGTTCCTCTCGGACTTGCGACGTTTTGAATAGCTTATTGTTACTAGCTTGAGTTGAACGTTACGCCGGCTACAAGACTGTCGCATGTGCATACGTTTAATTCATCATATATAGGATATATTCTTAGATTCTTCTTCTTCTTAGGTGATCTTAATTGCTAGCATCTCTCAACTTCCTGCGATGTTGATGAACAGAATAAGAAGAGGACAAGCGTAAACACCATAAGAAAATTAGTTTTCGTTTCGTTATTCGATCATTTAGAAGTTATTGTGATGATATATATAGCCGTTTACTGCAGTGAAAGCATGAAATCGATATTATAAGATCTACACCCATTGACAAAGCTTGGTTATACACCGAATATAGGTCGCGTAAACATAACACAAGAATATTGCCCGAGAGAAGCTGCCGGCCACGTATTTAACTTCTGTTTAACTCTGTGTGATATTCGTGTTCCAGCTATTCTTGGGTGGAGTTGCACGAAGACCCATTTTACCCGAAATTTGTACTGCCTATAGCAGATAACTAGGTAATGTGTGCCGCCAACAATCAAATACACGTAGCAAATACTACAAGTCTGATCCTGCCTGTTATGAAACATGTAGTTATGAAGTAAACCCTACGGAAAATCATCTACTTCGTAATACCTTACATTGAAGAATCAACGATGTTATTATGGTTATTGACAACAGCATCGGTTCCTACTATATTGCCTTACGAAGTAAAAGCGTTCTTGTGAGTAAATAACTTACTGTAAATTTGGGTTTCTAACACACGTAGATTTGCAATTTGGCTTCCCTGCGTATTTTTCTCTTGCTGATCTGTCTGACGCAGGAAACTCATGAGTTAAATGGTTGTCTGCGTACTGGCGTACAACTCGATAGCTTATTGTTTGTGTAGTTTTTCGCAGTATCCCGCCATGAAATGGTTATCAGTGAGACATATACAACGCTAGAAGGACAGGAAGTGGCTGTCAAACAAGTGCCGTTGGCATTGCACTTGTGGGCTAGTGCATCTCGTAAAAATCGAAATCGAAAAAACATGGTCCAGAAGAGTGCTAATAAGAGATACAAGCTCCAACCATCTTTAGGTAAAAAACTTATCATGATCGTTGATGCAGTTTCATGGTTTTAATTGTTACTATTTAACTAGGGAGTGCAATCGGAAGATATATGAAATATTATTGAATCATCACTACACTTGTTACATAGGTGTTCACGTATGGTTTGTCACAGTGTCTGGTCTGTACGTCGTGAGACAAGGTTTTCGTCCAGATGGCGTTGGTTGCTGCTTCTTGGCCACTTTCTGTCAGGAACAGTTGCTCAAAATGTCAGTTATATCATTACAAGCCTTACACTGATAATGTTATGTAGCGTCATTGGTGTAATCGGCGGCAACTTTACCCTGAGGGACAGGGAGGCGTTGGAAGCTGTTTGCCTGGATGCCGTTTCCTTAGGAACTCCTGATCCACAGTGGTGTGACCACAGTTGTTGCGATGATATCAACACATTAGGGATGCAGTCGGCGATTCAAGGCACTAACAATAGTTCGTCTATAACTTCTGGTGTACATTTAATAGGCGACGGCAACAGGCCTTGTTATACACCACGGCTTGCTATGCATAAGAAGTGTCTTCGGGGACGCCCATCTGGCTGGGCAGTCAAATTGTGCCTTTTGAGGTTTCATTTTGGCAGAGTATCATTTAAGACCCTCATGCATGTTTCTTTTTTTTTTGGTTACGTTTTATAGAACAAACTTTTAAACTCAACGGAAGAGGTAGTGTAGGACCTCCTGGTGATTATCTTGGCGTTAATTAGTTAGTCTCAATACGGTGTCAATTAGAATAAAATATAGCTTTAATCTATTACAGCAGGAAACAGGGCGTATAACTATTATTAGAGGATATAGTCACGATGCCAGTGTAATTATACTTGCTGTCTATTATATTGACAATTCTTTTTTGGCAACAGAATGGGATGATTGTTCAGCTTATATATTGTCCAATGGCTGAATGGATGCCACGTACTTAGAATTCGAACGCTATTATAAAATCCTCCCAACAGAATAACAGAAACATGGTATGTATTGCATGAGAATTATGAACAGAAATGGCAAGATCACCAGTTCCAATCAAAACGAGAAGCACAGTCCATTACAAATACGGTTATGGGGAGAATAACTGGGGTCTAGTAGCGAGCCTGGCGATTAAAATATAGCAGGAGAAAACGTAAAGCCAAACCGTGTGGATTGTGTGTGCGCCAACGCATAGACCCTCATTTGGTGCGGCAATGTGGCAAGACTTTGGGCACATTGCGTTATCCGATTCTCTCACAAAAAATAATAATATCATTACTATAGATGAAGATCGTCTAACTAAACAGCTTAAGGTGGAAGACAAGCCCTTTTACGGTTAATCGCTATTTCTTTTTTTCTAAAACATAGCATTGATCCATCCGCGGACCCAGCAAAATTAACCTATAATCGACTGCGTTAATACATCCATACATATAATGCTAACTCCCGATATAAAAATATTGTCAAGGATAGAAATTTCAATGACTCCTTCCATTACATACGTAATCTTCATAGCGAACAGCTGGCAATGACATAGTATATCAGCGTGACAGCGAATCATTAAAAATAAGTATTGTACGACGCAAATAACGATTCCAATAGTGCAAACGGGATCATAATAAAAGAATAACAAAATTATTTTCGAATGCAAGAATCTGATTTGTTCGACATATTTTCCATTTGTAGTTTGTTAATAAAAATTTGACTCGTCTGAAGAACGATCGGCCTTATGAGACTACTACATGGATGGAAAGTGGTAATCTCATTTTGTTGCTACCAAGGGAATACGTAAGAAGATCATATCTATTGTCGTATGAGTGTCGTTGTGTCTGTCGACGTTACTATACTGCTGCTATTAATGATAATAAAATAATATATTTCATCATCAATACGGGATCCTTTTGCCAGTGTTTTAATAATAATTTAATAATTAACCACTATCTTTCTGTTTTGTATGAATACATGCCTAATAGTTTTCGAAATATATCGGTATTCTTTCAGGTAAGACGTGTCTTCTGATTTCCTACACCACGAATGCCTTCCCAGGCGAATACATACCTACGGTATTCGACAACTATTCTGCGAACGTGATGGTTGACGGGAAGCCCATTAATCTTGGACTCTGGGATACTGCTGGTAAGAATTCGGCCTTGTCGAACAAGCATCAAATTTTACGCGCGTTCGGAAGACATCAATTTATCGGTCAAACAGGCGCCAAGCGGAAGAAAGCCATGTATAACACATCGACAAACCTATCAAAAAACGTTGTAGTAAAAATATATCAAGCGACGCCAATTCTGCCAACGTCGACATGGCAGAATAAAATAATAGTAATGCAACTTAATAAAAACTCTAAGAAAAAGTTGACTGCAGTGACGTCTGATGTTTGTGAAAGCATGTGGGTGAAGATCACTCTGTCCATTGATTTGTTTTGTGTAATACTCAGTTCTAACCAATTTTATGCCCAGAATAGCTCTGACAATGGGCAATTCCAAATTATAGGCATATTGTTAGTAGCGGAGTAACGTGTGTACAAGGAAGGAAAGGGGGTGGAGGCAAAGCTTAGCCATAGCAAAGAGGATCATTTTATCTTTATGTACGTAGTGTATTCTATGGTGAGTATGATATAGCATTTTAACTAGAAATCCGACTACAAAAGAAACGTAAATCATAGTCACTTGTAATGAATGAAATCTTCGAACTATCCGATCTTTTGGCTTTTGAGTGATAAGCTCCCGCTCATGCGTATGTGCCCATATTGATATGTGGTACAAACCATGGGCGTAATCAGTAATATGTGCTTAACCTAATACATAGAACTGTTTGAACTATAGGTTCATTAATTTAGTAGTAATTGTGGATTGCCCATAACGACGAGACCTATTCTGATTTGAAATAAAAATCGCTTTAGAATGTTGACTTTAAACGATTTAAAATGGTTTATCTTGAACTGATACGAAAATACAATTAACATCGTATCGAAACGACACTCGCTAACTGCTTAATTCCAGTTTCATTCCAGCCAGCGACAAGAATTCCACTTGTTAATTTATCGTGTTTTTGTGACTGCGCTTCGGCTTATTAGTGTTATCGAGGAAGATGTTATTGTTAAACAGTGTTCACTCGAGAGCGCCGCTCTTTTAGATATCGCGTTACTTTTTCAGTAGTCTGTCCTTTACATTTTGTGTAATTATCTTCCTTCTGGGGATGGCAGGGACCAACGCCACATGACTGATGATGCTCACTATCACAGCACCAGCAATTGCTGTAGTATTTAGTCGCAGTGGCACCCGAACTGTGGCCGGCCATGAACACATACACACAGGCCGACCTGCAACGAATCTGCTCGAGGTTGCAGTAATCGATGATGTTGTTATTTCGTTCACACTGTCGCTGTTTCTCATCCGTGGCTTAGCCTGAATGATGTTTGGTTCTTTAGCAGCAGTTAGCTTGCCGGGTCTTGTCGCTTATTTGCCGTGTCGTATCGCCGCTGCTGGTTTCTCTGGTATCAACCACAGTATTGACTCCACTGAATAACACACCGGCTAAGCGTCTTCGTAGTCGCCACCGATGCAATTGCTGCCATTATCATGAGCGACTGTTCACGTTTGCTGTTTCATTATTGTGGGCGGAGCCGTCGCTACAACAGCTGGCGTGGTGGTTCACAATATTGCAGTCAACGCCAGCAACACCAACAACAACGGCAAGCTGATAATCGAGTACATGACGTTAATAACGGGATTGCTGCGCACTGCTGCTTTGTTGCGGTATGAGCACCGCAATTCGTCACTGGCTACAGTTGTATACAGCAGATCTAATAAGTCTTCGCCGTGCCAAAATATTACTATTGCACCATACGTCAGGTTGATTAATATTTACATAGATTTAGGCGTATGTGAAGTCCGAAACGTGTGTGTGTAAAACGCGCAACAGCAATGACGGGATTGATCGTCGTGTTGTGATTTAGAAAAGTAGTAAATCACAAACTTAGTAGTAATATGATGGCAGCTTGATGCTGTTAGACTGCGGTTATATGCCGAATTTTTATGCTTACTTACGTTTTATGCTTACTGATGAATGGTGCACCTCAATGGATTTGCAAGATATTTGTGGCTGCGGTTATGATATCATAAGTTGGTTGTTACTGATGGGTTAACCTACGTAGACTGTCGTCAAGTGAACATTTGTAGCACTGGACGATTGAAGAGCATATAACGGATAACCCCATAAGCCTGTCCTTCTAAAGTAAATGTCGCCGCAGATTAAAGTGTAGCTGTTATTCCACCAGTAGTCTAAACCCAGAGGGCGCCTCATAAAGCAGGAGTTAGGATTGAGGATAGAGCGGAGAGATTTCGACCGTTATGTTGTAATAATAAAAGTCTAAGAATATCCAGGCCAGGTCCTTGTGCTTAACCGGGCTGGAAAGCATTTGTATACGGCAGCCCGTAACTCAAGTGTGCTCACTAACACACGTCGACGCGTTTGAGAGGATGTTGCATTCTCTTCCTGTTATAATTCTTAAAACAACACACGCTCCTATTTGTGATTAAACAGATCCACCTTCTCCCTTTGTCCTGTCTGGCGCTTACCTTCTCACCAATCTAGTTAGGCGTGGCACTAGACGCGCTAGTTAGCTTTACGGGCACGTTGTTAGATATAGTGGCTACCCAACTGGCTGTAATAGTCACACTAGAGCAACGGTAATCCAACAATCCATGATTCGAGCTGCCTGTTTTATGTACATTTTATCTGTATATATGCCTGTTTTATGTGTACATTCGTTCATACGAGATAAGGTACACTTGTCTGGTACTAGTGCATTTGAGCTATTTCTTGATTTAATAATGGCATCATTACTGAGTCAATGTTGTGTGAAACGGAGTCATTTGACTTACAAATCAATCGAGCGAACTCGACCAGAATTAGTCGATAGTTCTCCTTAACGCTCCGCTAACAGTTAGCTTTTCTGTTGATCGAAGATTACTTCTATTCTCTTTGCTTGCTTGTCGTTTTTTTTCTATTGATATGGTTGACTTTTCATTCAAAATCGGTTTTCTCTGCCAGCTTACTATCAGCTTCCTATGGATTCTCGACAACGGGGATTCTTATAATGCTATTGCAGCGGTACATCGCTGACCAGGAGATTAGAACATTATTGTTTGACCGCATTATCATGTCAAGTAAAGTCGATTCGTTCGTATACTCAACTTACGTATGTAATATTAGTGTCGTTTTCGTGATTGTTTATATTATAATCTGCATGCCGTATTTATTGCAGCAGGCTAAGCTAAGCTAATAAAATGCAGCACGTGTAAACAGCAGTAAACCATCCATGAACCGCTAAGAAGCTCCGAAATAATCTACTTATGTTATATTTTATCTTTGCTATACACCACAACTATAGCAATACGCGCATGTGGTGCAAATTCAGTCCTTATAAAATAAGATCTGCAAAAAAAAAAATGTTTTTTAAGCAGACGCGGCCATATTGACCTTTGGACTTGGTTTCTGCTAGCCATTTGCCAGTAGCAACGGCAGTTGTGGGGCCCAACCCGATCAGAGTATGGTCTCTCTACAAGGAAGTAGACAGATGCCCGACTGACGAGCGTTCGAGGTACCATGGACGATATCGGCCTCTGTGCTATGCTAATACATGTAGTCGACGATTCTATGCTACTGCAAAGGCAGTGATACAGACGCCGACACTTGCAGCAGGCGCGATTGCGTTACGTCCGTGGTGTCTAAACGTTTGGTCCGTTAGACGTAGTCGATCTCGAAGATAAATGCTGAGAGTACTCGAATTGTACGGTTCTCGTCATAGCGGCAGCTGATCGCGTTAGACGTAGTATAGATTTCACCGTGTTAAACGCAACGAAGAGGCTGACCCAGCGAGTATATGATAGACCGATTGAGCTTACGTTGTACGGACACTGCGCGGGGTGTGTACAACGAATGAACGTGCCCTGTGATGAGTTTTTGGCTGAGGTCTCTAGTTTGCCTTCGTTATCACCACCGTCACCGCGGTGGGCAGTGCTATTGCGCTGCTGTTGCCACTGTAGTAACGGTGGCAGCTAAGACTACCTGTTGAGAGTTGCTCGTAAGTTGAGGGAAGCTACTGCTGTGGTTTCCGTTGCTGAATGCACATATGGAGAGACGCCGAGTGACGAGGTCATCAGCAAGGACGGCGCCGCCAAACAAACAAAAGCTTAGCGCCATAAATGTATATTGCGGGGGAAGCGGCCTCTGCTGATGCCATTACCTCTAGCGGTAAGCGTAGTATTGGCAGCGGCCAACGAATAAGCAAATAGACACGTTTAAGGGCATGTTTGACGACGTTGAATAACCGCAGTTGCAAGCAATTGCATTGGAACTAACTTGGCTCAGCGTTCGGCTCGATTCAAAGAAGCTGGACGTGTACAACTATAATGTTCGACAGCGATAATACTGACCAACGAAGAGTATACCGTTTATCACACATTGAAGAAATGACAAAGCACATATATTTGCAATATTTGCTTTGTTGAACATAGCGTATATGTATGTATATATATATTAGTTACACGGAGCTTAGCTAGTTATGGTGCTATTTTTGGCTGCGAGAAGGTATTATAGCATCAATCGGAACCTCTCGTATTATCTTATGACTGTTTTCATTCCCAATAATGTACAGGCTGTAACATGAAATCGTTGCTCATTCGACTCGACACTCAGATCTTAAATCAATTTTGTTTGATGACTACTTATGGCATCATTGATACATTATGCAACATGAAACTTGATGACCAAGGCTCAAATCTGTTCGGAAAAAATATATAAATGAGTGCTATTAGTCATGGTTACGCGGTCGATATGATATAAAGCTCATTTGTTCGCCATTTTCCCAAGTTAATATATAAAAATATTAAGATATGGTTGATTTAACTGGCAGCTTCTGCGAAACAAATGCTTAGAATATATTGCTGGATTTGATAGGTAATGGGTATGAATCGATTAGCCTTGATTGTCTAAGACGCAGACCTATATTGCTGCAATAAGACTAGTCGCGGATGGCCGGGAAATCGTGGCCTGGGAATGAATGTACTGTATATTCGACAGCATGAATGTGCATGTAGACTACTATGTCGAAATTTCTGCTTCACGGATACGTTATAGAAAACGATTACAGTATAACATATCTTTTATGGTCCAGCAGGACTTAAACTTGTAAGGTTTTTCGTAACGTAGAAATGCGCTTCATAAAAAATAAACACTGAGTGTGTAATGTGTCACATTTTACCAGTTACATTGTGAACCGATTTATTTCCCTACTTAGTTTTTATTGATTGCTCTATCGTATCGCTATATTTTGACTGGTTTCACTCACACTGTAATAGCACGATTGATCGATAAGGACATAATCTTATAAATTCAATACTCTTATTCTAATCGAGCCATCGAGCTCATGTCAAGTGTGATTCAGTTGGATAAACTTAATAGAATATATCGTGTATAAAGCCTTATATTGAATGTACACTGTGCTACAAGACATATGAACGATAAATATGTCCAACTTAGTTGATATCATATTGGAACAGGTGTAGAATTTAAAATAAGTGAAAACTACGAGAATCGACAGACAACACGAGAAGTATATACTCCCATTTCTTAATGAAACAGCAATATACAGACGCGTCATATACGAATGAAGACGCTTTTGTTACGGGCTTTATCTAATGGCATCAGTAATAACCTTTTATTAGTTCATACCATCTGTCTATTTCACCCATGCATACACACTTTCGTAATAACAGCAAAATGCCGCGTTATTTGGCATTCCCACTGTTATTATTAGCATTGGCGGCAGTGTTCTAACAGCGGTAGCCATCTTCACTGCTTTACATATATGCAATATGGGGTCATCTTTCTACCCACCCGTTCGACTTGTCCTCCCTCTACGCTCTGTGCGTGTACATCTCTCATGTATTGCATACGATATTATTTATCTCATGAGTGATGGCGACAAAGACGACGCTTTCGGTTTGTTTTGCTTCGTAGCTTGACGTAAACATTGGTTAAGCACTTGGCAATAATCTAGTCAGAGTGAAATCATCAGTCTATAACGTCTTCGTTTTGCTATTACGTTGTAGAAATGGATTACCCTAGGAACGTTAAGAATAAAGTATTACAGGACACGAAAAAGCAGGGCATAATATACAGTCCTATGTTAGCTAATTGTGTTATACTATTATAGTTCTTACCAATTTTTTGGAACTGCACATTAAAACCTTAACTTGGTTTGTCTATGTGAATGGATGATATTTATATCAGAATGATATTAAGGCAGCCACGACAATATTGGTAATACACACCCTAACAAGAGTAACCATTTAATACAATTGTAGCAGCACGTCTTATTGTCGTCTTGACATTATTGATTTTCTAGCGCTAGAGAAACTGAAATCATATAAATCAGTAGGCAGGACGTTTGCCCCATGCTGAGCAAATGCTACTTCCGGTGGCTGTTGTTTAGAGGGTATTTCCGTCTTGAGAGTGCTGTTGCCCGGAGTGCTGCATATTTTGTTGGAAACAGTTTTACATTGTCTTCTGTAATAGCAATGATATGTTCAGAAGTGGGGCTGTACTGCAGAATATTCAGCATAGTGTCGGGATCTGTTTGGAGCAATTAGATGCATGCTCATTAGAATAAAATCTGTTACTAAGTCTGAGTATTCTCATTTCAGGTCAGGAAGACTACGATCGACTACGCCCCCTATCATACCCGCAGACAGATGTGTTCCTTATCTGCTTCTCACTAGTTAATCCCGCATCGTTCGAAAACGTCCGTGCAAAATGGTACCCAGAAGTCAGCCATCATGGTCCTAATACACCGATCATTCTTGTAAGTATCGTTGTATATAAATGAATTCTAGGGTTGTATAGTAAAGTTTTTTGCACTGCAATTGATCGTTGTAATGAACAATTTGCCATTTCGAAAGCGTGCGCAACCGGTTGTGAAATACCTACAATTATCGATGAAGTTGGTTACAGCTTAAAACCGATGTACTATAAGCAGCTGACACCCACTTTAAGTTTTTAAAGGTACATTAAATTACAGTAATTCAGAAGATTTCGATTTCCGTGAAACGCTGTCCACAATTCAAATCTAACGGCACGTCTTAACGCTTATTTGGGAGGTTTGATCGTTATAGGCACCTATGTGTATTGTTACTGATATGTCAAGTACAGCTGACAAAGGATATCACATTAGGACATATTTTCCTATTGTTCTGTGCTACTTCTACTGCGTGACTGTGTCAAATCGCGCCTTTATCTAACGTGTTGAGTCACAGTCGCCGCTAGTGCTTCTGCCACTGCACTGTGGCTGCTGTAACAGTGTGTGCTCCAATATTAATCTACACCAGTAATATTACAAATCCGTCAACCACCCAAATTACCCGGAACGATGGCCTTTACCTAGAACCCCACTGAAGTGAAAAGGGAACTGAAAAGGCTGATCCCCCCCCTAACAGCCATGGCCATACTGGCCATCTTGTCCCTGTCAGGCCTGAGCTATCCATAGAAAGTCCATGAATGAGACAACTATCTGTGGCAGACTAGTTGTGTCTGGTAACGAGAGTTGGCTTATCGCATCATATGTTTTAAATTGGTATCACATAGCGACTGGATTGCCTATAAGTCGAGCGCGGGCAACCATTGTTCCGGAATGCGCAGTGGCCTGGGAATAAATGCTGCGTGTTCACACGAATCAGTTGAGAAACATCCGCTGTACTTCGCGTGTGTTGACAAGTATGTATTTCATACTAATGCAAATCGTACGGATCAACTTCAATCATTATTTGTTCGAAGCGTGGCCTATCTATAGCAAGCCTTCTTGTTATCCTACTACTATTATTATGTCTAACTAATAGGAGCGTACAAAGTAAATGATAACCGAGCGGCGGTGTTATTTGCGGATTTAGCCTAGATCCAAATGTAATATTTTGGACTGCTCTCACACTCGGAACACTACTTTGGCAACGTGTGAAAATCCGCTTAGAACAATGAGGTAAAAAAGGACAAAGCGATCATGTTTGTATCGATGGCGCCCAACCTGATCGATACTTCACTCGTGTTAGTATTGATCGATGTCGATTTGTAGAGTATGACGCAGTGTGCACAACCAGTTTGCCGATTTTAACCTTAAGTTTAACCTAAAGAAGAGGGAATGTTCTTCACATGAGTGAACACCACTGGGGTGTGTCAAACGGTCTTATAACTGACTGTGGATGCTAAGAGCCTCGAGCCGCCACACCACTACGTAAACCTGTGAACTTCCTTTCTTAACAAATGCTGTTGAGTTAAGTACCAGAATATTAATTCAGCCGACATTAATCAACTTGTCAGAGCTGTAACCGGAATTGAGATATTTAGCTCATCGTGACTGCGGCTTTTCTAGAAGCCTCAACACTATAGAAGTTGCGTCTTGGGTAAGGTCAACCCATGAATGTATTTACTCATTTCTCATTATTTAGTAGAACAACGCAGTCTTCGGTTGTCGAGAGGCTTGCGTAGTTCATTAAAAAATCGATTCAGTCTGCTTTTAGCCACTAGCAGTTAGCGTGACGCTGACTAGTCAGAGTGAATTTTTTTTGTCTGCTTTACTTCAGACTGGAACAGATGACTCAAATCAGTCACCAATCTGTTAATGGCTTTGGAAAACGAGCTACAGCCCCAAGACAAAATTCTGACCAGTTAATAATAGTTTTTAAAAGGAATCCACCTATTCTTGGGTCAGGAATTTTTGTCGGATTCCGAACCTATTACATTTATTGTAATATCCTGTTCATGTGATGATATCTTTAAAAAAACTATTTTAAAAGGTCTCTCTGTGCTTCCATCTCAATATGCACATGGCAATTAAAAGTTATTTCTGCTAATCCTGGGCTTGGATAATATTCACTTTTATCCAATATCTAGGTTTCTTTTGATTAGACCCATTCGATTGTTTACAGTTAGCACCAAGTATCTATTGCAGTTATAGTCTCAGTCCAGTATTACCACTAATAGCAGTTCAAACGTAGGACAGTGACCCCCGTCTAATTGTGAAACTGATCAAGGACTCAAGAACCCGCTCAGTGCCGACCAACAAGTAAGCAGTCGACTCCAGCTGGTCTGATATTTAAACACCAGACTTGCTAGTCGACGGTTAGGATATGTGTTGCCTGGCTGTCTGCCGTTTAGAAGGAAGTTGGCAACGAAACAGAAATTATGATACCGGGAGAAGTAATGTTTTTGAAACGAAGCTATTGATGTTAACGTTTCAGTTAACAAGGACGACGAACCGTAGAGCAGGAGCACAACAAGCTAGATACTGCCCTTTACTACGACGTATTATATTCTGTACTGCTGCTTGGAGTAGGTTGGCCAGCCAACGTTTTAGAACTTGCCTGTTTGGTAACAACTAATTGGAAAGAATAAAATTGGTTACGGCGGCAGCAGCAGCAGACCGTGGCAGGAGTAAGTATCATGTTGAAACAGGCCGTGCTGGTATTTTCTTGATACAATCTTACGTCTCATGAATCATGTGGCTGTCACAAGTTGCACTATGATGCATTACGATGGACGACACGCTGGCCATTGGTGCTTCTCCGGCTGCTAGTTTTGTTATTGCTAGCAAACAGGTCAACAGGCATTCGCGCGGCGAATGATCGTGCGCTGGCTGAAACCATTGCGGTGTGCGGGGCCAATCATCTTCGTTCATCTCCGCGACGGTACGATGACATGTTTCTGCGACGAAAACGATGAAATCGTTGTCCTAATAGGTGCAAAGCGGTTCGCTGAGGAGGCCGAAAGAGTTCCAGATAAATAAGCTTGAGATATCTATACGGATCTATTATTAGTAGGTAACGGACTTAATTAGTTATTTGAGTGCACTGATAGAGTTGTTTTGTGTCATGTGTTATTAATTAATATTAGCGTTAGTGCCAGTTAGATGAAAATATGACAGGTAGCACAATAATTTGGAGTATATTCATATTATATAAATAACGTGTGTTTATTATATGTCATAACTGTTTTAGTAAAATCACCATATTTTTTGTTGTTGTTATCTATGTTGTCTTCAGGTGGGAACCAAGCTTGATCTTCGAGACGACAAAGACACATTGGAAAAGTTGCGGGACCGTAAACTCGCTCCGATCACGTACCCGCAGGGTCTCGGAATGGCCAAAGAGATCACAGCTGTCAAGTATCTCGAGTGTTCTGCTCTGACTCAAAAGGGCCTGAAGAACGTGTTCGATGAAGCTATCCGAGCCGTACTCTGCCCGCCTTATAAGCCGACGAAGAAAAGGAAGTGCGTGATTCTCTAGAACAAACGCCATCTTTTACTCCAGGACAAATTTCAACGTACTGTCGAACAGCAGATAAACAAAGGAGTGAATGTTCTATAACATTAACAAGAACTTCTTGCTGGCCATCGCGACAGTCCGTCGTTTACGGAGTGGGAGGCTTCACATCTTCAGCAAAGCAGCAGCAGCAGCAGCGGCAAAATGTGACGGCGGATATTTCGAAAACAACAATAGTGACAATAATAACTTTAACAACTATTATACAATAATTTCAAGATGCGCATCAATCTGTAATAGAAAGAGCAATAAATATTGCGATTGTTGCTCCATGTATAACCATGTATAATCAGCCATTTGTTGCGGCAAATAACGCAATTTGCACATCATCATCACACTTTATTTTAAGATTAAGGTGCAAATGAACAGGCATGCAGAAGCTTATACTTATCCATTTCAAGTTATTGGCAGCGCTTCAATCGACAACGAACGGCTTATTTTTTGCCTGTAAACCTGATACGAAGCCGGCGATCTGAGTGATCGTTGCCAGAAGCACAACGAATTAAAACCATCAGCAAGCTATCAGGTTATCAAGTTTACTAATTCTACCTGTATTTCTTGAAGAACGTATGTGCATATATATAATTGAACCAACTTCTGCATGTTTGTGCTTCCGTTTTTCTCTCCTGCTATCAACAACAAAAAATGAGATTCCCAGGAGGAAAGTAGTTAGCGTCCAGCAGCCTCGTAACTGACCCCTATTCTTCTCAAACGCGGTTTGGCAAAGTTGAATTTAGCTGCTCCGCAAATGCACACGGTTTCTGTATTACCTGAACGACTAGTACGGTTGTCGCCGAAGAATACGATGGTGATCTAGAGAGAGTTCCACTTCCACAGCTTATTAGAGCACAAACATGGCAGAAGAATTGTAGACATATGGATCGTGGAAAGGGTTGTAAACGATGGCATTGTTTTTTCAATATTAACTCAAACGACAACACGGAGAGCAGAATGAGAAGGGGAAAGATTACCCATCTGCTTATCCTTAAGTCTACTGCCACAGGGTATGTGGAAGTGTTGTAAGCAGGAGAAAGATGGATCGATGCCGGCTAAAAGGAGACTTGTTGCTGCGTGTTGCTACCTCAACAATGGATTTCAGTCGTCAGCACGACATGATTCTAATAACAATTACTATAACGACCACTTTTATTATTCCTTGCATCATTGGTGTGTAGGAGAGAACAGGCAATGTAAACGGCACGTAAAGACTAGATGACTGACTATCGAGCATAACAGGATGACACTTTAGAAACGCTCGTAGGGCTAAAATGGAGTACAAGTGGGGCGAGAGAGGGCTTATAAAAAAAAAAAAGGGTTAGACTAGAAATAAATGAGTTAAGTAATATATATTTAATTAAAGTGGACGACTAAGTAAGGAGAAGCGAAAATGTTTGACGATTGAGTGGTTGCGATACGAAAAAAGAAGCGATTAAGCGAGCGACTTGAATGAAAGAGATAGAGTCATAATAAAGGGCAAAAAAAACGCTAAAATTTTGTAGGTGGTGCTGTTATTATTGATGACGAAACGATGACTCCGTGCTACGGAAACAAAGAAAATAAACAATCGGAAATGATTATAATGCTGATAACGACGATTACGGGATGAGCAATTATATATGATAATAGAATCAGAAGGAATAGAATTAAAAAAATAATGACAGATTAATTAAATGCGATCGAAAATGGCGGTAGTTGTATTGGGGAAACCAACTGCCAGAGTCGGCCGGGTCAATGTTGGCTGTATGTTTTGACGTGGTAGACTCGAATCCCAAATTGTGGAAATGCTATATAAAATAAGCAACCACGGCTAAAGAAGATCGTATCCCGATGACATACATATATTAGTGCAAAGCATAAAAAATCGAGCATGTAAAGTGTAGTTCGCCTGAAGTGGCATTGCTCGACCATTAGAAACAAAAAAAAAAGAAAAAACACGAAGAAATCTGTAAGACGACCCAGAGTTATTACCACAACTACTTTTTTTTTGTTTGATTGTGAAATGCTAATGATAACAATAACACTGAAGACTAAAATAAAATATAACTGTTCGAAATTCTATAATACGGGTTGGTTGACCATAGACGACGATAAAAAAAAAGGGGAGAAAGAACAGAGTTTTTACAAAGGCAAATAGAACTTGAACACCCAAGAGTTGGTCTCTGCTTAAACAAAAGCATGCCGAGGAATGATAGAAACTTTAGTGGCCTATCTAGGAAAACGCGTTTTCAGGGTACTTCTGATTTGCCATCTGTGCATAAGGTGTCATAAACTGAACATCAGAGGGATATATGAAAGCAAACGTTACTGATTTGGAGTTGGTGATGCATAAAACGCAGCCGCTACGCAGCGGTTTAACCGACGAAACGTTTATACATTGCACTGCTAAAATACGCACGGGGGATGGGGCGGGGTGGTAAGGATAAAAAGATAAGGTATTAAAGTTGAGTGGATAATGGAGCCCATATGCGATGTAAGCCAAGAACGAATTACAAGTTCCCACGACTGTCTCGCGAAAATAGGACGGTATGCGTGCGCCCGGAAAAAGCAGCCTTCGTCCACGGCTTTAGGTGAGGACAGTACACAAGAGGAAACGATGCATGGTCGTGACAAGTTATAGCGACGAGTACCAGCGTGAGGACGAGGTGATCAGTTGGAGACGAAGAAAATATGTGCGCGACGCAAGGGGGACAAGCCAACTGTAATATTCCGCTTACGCCTTGATCCTGGCTGATGAATAATAAATAACAATAATGATTGTGGGATGATGAACCCGAGAGACGAAATGTTAGCTTATCTTTTCACATGTAACATACTAAATGATAATAAAAACAAGATGAAGACAATAACAAATGAAAATAAAATGATGATGATTATTATTGAACTCGTTTTTTGAATCGAACAGTGTCTTGATCAATAGGTAGATGTCTCTAGTTGATACATGCTAAAGCACTAGAGCTAAAGAGAATCACTCTATGAGCACAACGAGCGTATTCACTAGAAACCGTAAACTACGTAGAGAAAGGTTGTATTCTAGATAAAGTGCCTGCCTGCCCGTGTCTTCCAGCTGTTATATTTCGTAGTACTCTGTGCATATCCATAGAATAAAATAGATAAGTATATAGTAGCTATTTTAGGGTAGCTCAAAATGAAAACTTTTCACCAACAACAATAGCAAATGATGATTTTATCTAATGCTTTTAGAGAAATCTTTGGGCATATCTAACATGGTAGAAAGGTATCTCAAGGAAATTACGTGATGCTAATAATGAAAATGGCATCATTGATTCCATTTAGCTTTAACGATTGGTGTTTCCTACGTTTTAGACTCCTATTAGAAACAAGATCATGTAGCTCTGAGAAAGGATGGCCAATCGTCGTCAGCTCAGCGGATTTGTTATAGCATACACAAGTTTGACGATTTGAATCAAAGCGCCATATGTAGAACTGATCACACATAAGCACAGTAGCGCCTAGATACGTTTCGTCTTCTAGACTAAAGAATCCTACGTCTTTTCCTTTTAAACAAAACCCCCATTAGTTTATGTATTCTAAGTGAACTTTATCAGATAGAGCGAAAATACAAGAACACCTAGACGGCACAACAAAATATAGGTTCAGTTAGCTAACAGTTCACTTTAGAATATTAAAAATAAAAAAAAAAAGTAAAAAAACGTTATTAGTGCGAGTATGTTATATTTATCATAGTTAGAATAGAACCAAGCCTTTAGGGGGTAATAGTAGAAATGGATCTTCATCAAAAGCCGCTGGAAACACGGAATCCATTCATATGAAATAGCCATGAGCCGCACGGGTATCAAGCACACAAGGATTTGTTGAACGGATAATAATAGAAAAAAGGATGACGGAAGCTTAATTTAGCATTTGATCTTGTCCTACGTATGGTATGGCCAAAGCTGATATTCATTCTGCAGACATGCTTATGTTGCGGTATTGGTTAGGGCCTCGATTCACCTCTGTCCTAGAAGTCGTCTAAAAGTACTGTAGCAAACAGTAAGAACCACAATAGAGTATGCCCGTGTAATATTCCTAGCTAAATTAATTTATCAGATACTGCACCATTCGAATATGTGAAACTTTTCATGGGATAGTTTCGTCGAAGCCTAACTATGCTCAGCTGTGAGCTATAGACCTGAATAGACTGAGGCGTGACGTAATGTGCAGGATGGACGAAAGTAAAATGACTTACTCCATGTATTTAGTCCACTTCTCTAGAATATTTAGGCAGAAGCATAGGAAAAAGGGTGTGTCGAACAATAGCTGGCAGTTTTTGCTGCGTCTTGTATGCGCACCCGGAAATAGAACCGAAAACTAGTGTCCTAGCTGATCGTTCAGCACTCTTTCAAAGAGTCAGAAAAAAAGAAGAAAAAGTCACTAGTCGCCGGCTTGCGCACATCTGTTCAAAGCATTTAGCTTTAAACATGGCGAATGATAACGCTATGTTAGCCGAACGCTTTCGTCCCTTTGCAACTTAGCATCCATTCAATTGTAGGAGGTGTATACGTTACCCCACATGTATTCAAATGCTTTGAGTTTTACTCTTAATAGCCCTGTTAGCTGTTGCTTCATTTAGCGTACCGAAATTGCCCAGTGTCTAACCTAACCCCTCTAACGTGTTGCTAAGTTAAACAGTCAAGCACTAATACCTAACATGTATCCGTGTATTTGTAGGAATGGCATATAGATTAAACAAACTTGTTCGGTTTGTAGTGCGTTTATAGCTCTTTGACTTTACGTGATATTAATTACGAATTAGCGCTTGCTATTTTCGATCGTATTCTTTTAGCCCAGCCTAAATTGCTTCAGGTTTTTAGTTAGTTTCCTTCTCTCCCGTCTGAGCGCATAAAACAGTAGCATCAGGCACAACAGATCCGGACGAGCGGCAAACTGATTGAAACTTGCTACCCCAATCAGCAGAAACCTAGGTACTGGCAAAGCTTCATTGTCATTTACAGTTCATGCTTGTATAACGCGCAAAAAAGTTTTCCTCGTGGGTTTCATACGGTTTATGTAGCTATCAATTGCCCAATGCAACACAAATATGATTTTTATCTCGCCCATTAAGCAACGAAACAATATATTAAAATAGAGTACTAAAAATTTGCAATAGTTTTTGTCCAGTGCTAATCTTTATTTCGAATTGCGCATTTTTCGGAGCGACCAGTGAGCTTTCAAGGCACCGCGTCACCGGTGTATTTCTATTCCTGTTTGTTAAATACGCGTCTACTATTTTTCATTCAGTCTCATTTTGCCCTGCAGCCAAAGACGACACGAACAGATAGAGCAGAAAGAAACTAATAGAAGCAAACTCAGCTTGGCTTAGCCTTCTTATTAATATGAGCAATTTGAATTAAGTCACAGGGTCGACTATTCGGTCTGTGAGTGTCAAATGTATACGCTGCAACCAAATGCAGACAAAATGAGACTGAATTAAGAAATCAACTTAGTTAGTCACTAAGAACTGCTAGTTATTTTTTCGGCATTTCTCAAGTTAGGAGATTTTCTTTTATGGCGGCGGCGGCGGATCCGCCTGCACGCAGAAGCATTCAGAGGAAGCACTCTGTTACGAAGAAATGCCTTTTTATAGCTTACTTAGAAAAGGCAAGCGTTACAGCGAAAAAAGACGGTTATTACGCCAAGCAATCGTCGTAAATACTCTGTGAGCTTGGATATCCTTGGACCGCTGGCAGAAGTCAATGACTCACCGGACCGACTTGCTGAACATCTATTGCTAGGTGCTAGAAGGTATCTGTAAAGTCTTTATTCAAATCTTAGCCCATCGCTGACATTCACCGTTTACGTCAAGCTGACTACGAGACTAAAACGTTTCATATTCATAGCCATTGAGCGAGTTTATAGGAATGTCATGGGTACACATCACCAAACATAACGTTACTGGAGCAGTGTTGATGAAGCGTAATAAGTTGAATCTAAGCTACCGCGCACGTAAGGGTAGACGGCGCGTTATTGCAGTGTGCTTGACGCATCGCATATCTGTAAATGCTTATTCTAACGATACCTTTACATTTAATGCAATTAGAAAGCGAAACAGAATGTAAATTTCGGTCAGCGCGTTTGGTTTACGAATATCCTTTCGTGAAAAGAAAAGTTCTGACCATTGTGTGCCATAAGCGTAAGTTTAAACGCCATTCGTACTACTATAAGGTGAAAGCTGTCCTAGCAGGAAGCTCGTGTTTAGAACAGTCCGATGTGTCGCTCAAATCGAATTAAGAAGCCCGAAAAATCCAGTCAGCAGCGCTAGCAGCAGTTTTTTACGCATTGTTCTTGGGGGCACTGCGTATCCGGCAGTAGCAGAGGAACGCTGGCACTCTAAACTCTTTCTTCTGATCAGTGAACTGCAGTTGAGCCAGCATGACAAACAACTAGCAAGCGTGCCTGTCAATACAGCCGGAAAGCAAAACATATAAAATATTTCGAGAGCATTGAAATTCACGAACTAGATCCTAGTGTGCGCGAATCATAGTTCCGATTAACATTTAATGTAATATTTTATACGTTTACGTAAATGTGAACACTGTCATGTTACGGGTGCTATATCTTATGCAAGCCAAATGAAAATTAGCCAACTTATTACAAAACCGTTCAAGGTCCGAGGTCTAAACAATAACAGTGACGCCAATAATGTTGCCATGCTCAACGTTTATATAATGAGAACGCAGCCTTGAGATCTGATAAGGTAAATGCTTTCATTGTGCATGCTAGTCTATAAAACTGACGTATGCCCGTAGATGTTTACAAATGTTTGCTTATCTTGATCAAATTTCCCCGCCAAAATTTTCGTTCAAATCAGCTCATAGGATTACATATTTCTACTAGGTCATAAATTTCAACTAGATCAAGTATCGTTGTACCTCTTTAAACTCGGATTTTATGTCTCGTCGAATTTCCATCTTACTTACTCGCAAAACTTGGGCGTCCGTCCTATTCCGTGCCCCTTTTCGTAACATGTGCATTTTTTTTTCTCCTGAGA